CGATAAAGTTCAATACTGTGCATGTTGTTTGACGTTCCTAACAGAACCCAACACACGCATCTATGTTGCGTAAGTACGTGTGCGACCCCGATCATGTCATTCCTCATTCAGATATTCAGGTTCAGCCAGATCTTTCGTACGAGGAGCGACCGATAGCTTATTGGACCGTCAGGTTCGTCGGCTCCGAAAGCGAGATGTTCCCCTTGTACGTATTCAGTGGGATCGCCACGGAGCTACTTGGGAGGCAGAGTCCGATATTCGCGCTCGTTTTCTAGATTTTCAGTTTTGATGTACATATTTTCTTGTTCTATGTACATAGTTCATGTATATTCAGTTATGTTTTGAATTTTTGAGGATGGAAATTTTTAAGGAGGGAGGATTGTAATATCCCGTCAGTTTATCAGTATAATTCATGTTTTAGTTCCGATATATTAATATTGTCAAGTATTAATTTTCGGAATTAATTATTTTCAGTCATTTCAGTCGAGATTACCGGAAATTATTTTCGATGTACCGTTTACGTTTGGAATAATTTTGGTAATTAAGCATTATGTTTAAGTAAATAATTAAACATGATTAAGTGATTAATTAGCAATTAATCACATAATTAAGTCATTAAGCCGTACGGATTTGCCTAGCAATTAGCAAAAACCGTACATAATTCTTTAAGATAAAGGAAATAATTCTCCTTCTCTTTAAGCATGTGCACGTGGCAAAATAAGAGGGCTTAGGATGTGATTAATCATCTTAATCACCCTTAGCTTATGACAAGTGTCATTAAGTCTTTAAGCCACCAAAAAGCCCACCTCCTCAAGCCTTGTACGGTCGTGTATATAATAGATGAGTTGGGAGGAAATTTTCTTACATTTTTTTTTAAGTATACACTAAACCAAGAGGGAACTTGAGAGAGCTGTGAGAGTTCTTCCCATATTATACCTACCGCACGGCAATCAGTCGCACTGCAGGCCCAGCACACGCTACCGCTGAGAGCATCACACGCTGCACCGCAAAGCACCCGCACGGCGACGCATCGCACGCGGAGAGCCACACGAACACGGGAGTCCGAAGTATTGCCGTCAGTCGAGCATAATCGGAGGTAAATTCTGTGTGGTCGTAGGCTGAGATTATCATGTTCTTTAAGTTCAGCTTTCAGTTCAGGCTTGCATGCGTGTCGCGTATAGGTTCAGCCGTGCGAGTAGCCGTGTTGAGTCATGTTACATTTTAATTCGAATTCTCCGAACAAACCTCGCATGTTTAGTAATTTTATGTGATATTATGTTCAGTCTAAGGATTTTGTTCGAGAAATGTTCATGTTTTGGCTCGGTGGTTAAGCCATGGGATGTGGTCGCGCATATAGCGCACCACGGGCCGTATGCATGTGTTAGTTATGTCAAGTTCAAGTCCTTCGAGCACTTT